GTGCTACGGAGATGGTGAGATGCTGGGGATGTGTCGTGAAGTCCTGAGTGGCTGCTTCCCCTTGTCACATTCTGTGTACAACTCTCTTGCTTCAAACATTCTACGATGAGCGTTTGGCTTCCACGAGGAAATGTCCAGTAAGCTGGCAGGGCACCACGTCAGTGAGTGCCTGCACACTTGTTCCCTGCCTGCTTTCCTGCGGGAAACTTGGGCTTCCTGCGGACCTTTGCCGTCTTAGCCATGGTGTCCAGAATAGCACACAGCACAGAGAAGGTGCTCGATAAATGTCAGCTGAAGGAATACATGAATGAATGGCTGGATGGAGGTGAAGGCTGCATGATGCTGCTGGGGACCAGCTGGGCCTGGAGTCCTGGCCCTGTACCAATTGGCATGTGAAGTTGGACAGCTTTTTAATCTTGAAGGCTTGGTTTTCTTATCTATAAAACAGGAATACATACCTCTTAAGACTGCTGTGAGGCCTAGAAATAAGAATTGCAAAGCACCTCACACACAACCGGTGCCTGCGAAGTGATAGAATTACTAAGCTGATTAATGAGGAAAGTATCCAGATAATTCAGAGGGAAAGAAACCTCACTTGCTCAGATGAATTTGAGGCCAGGGAATAAAATTCCCATTACCTTACTAATAGCAAAAAATACCTCTGGCTAAAGCAACCAAGTCCAGCCCCTCAAAAAGAGGACAGAGCCCTAGATTCCTGTCACTGTGCGTCCAGCCTGTCTGTCTGCCTACAAAAAATTAGCTTGAGTGAGTCAGTTAACCGAGTGTTTTTATATACAACAGAATAAGGTTGACCCACCCTGCAGGAGTATTGAAGATTGATTATTAAATGACTGAAGCACATTTTGCAGCTACAAAGTGCCATCTATCTATGTATCTATATATCCATCTATATATCCATCCATCTTTCTGTCCATCCATCTTTCTGTCCATCCATCTGAAGGACTCTTTTTCTTAATTTTTATAAATTTAATTTAGTTTTGGCTGTGTTGGGTCTTTGTAGTTGTGGCTCGCGGGTTCTAGAGTGCAGGCTCAGCAGTTGTGGCTCATGGGCTCAGTTGCTCCGCGGCACGCGGGATCTTCCTGGACCGGGGCACGAACCCGTGTCCCCTGCATCGGCAGGTGGACTCAGCCACTGCGCCACCAGGGAAGCCCCTGAGGGAGGATAACTTTTAAGCCTGTGGAGGAGGAATCCCAGCTGTAAACCTCTCAACCGTCGGGCTAATCTGAATCCATAAATAAATTGGTTACTATCTTAAACGAAGTAAACATGTGATACACTTAGTGGCTAACACACTGTCCTTTTTTTAAAAAAAGCTTACAGCATATTGCTGTTTAATTAAGAATTGGGTCAGCCTCCCTCCTGGGAGCCCAGAGGGTGTCTGGCTGAGCGGGCCGGGTCGCAGTGGGCTGGCTCCCCTGAGGAGCCCATGCCGCAGCCCGGGCTGCCTCCACCTACCCTCCGCCGCCCTCGAACACTGAGGGGCTAAGCCAGGCCTCTCCTGGGCCAAGAAAGCAGCCTTTGCAGAACGTCTTCTTTCTCCTCCTCTTGCTTCTTCTTACTATGATTGCAAAGGTAACAGACACGGGACAGTGTTCCAAAGGTAAGAAGGGAGTCAAGCAAAAATGATTTTAGAAACGTGGCTTCTAACACAGGTGGTCAATGCTCCACGTCTCTGAAAGTTGGAAAGCCCTGACCCCGGGCATGGTGATGGTGGCTTCGGCGTGTCACCGATTCCTGTGATACATATTCACAGAGTGTTTCTCTGCGACAGGCTGTGCCCAGGTGGCGGGGGAGGGGAGGCAGTCAACAGGCAGAGGGGAAAGGAGAGCCTGGCTTCCATGGTGAGATGGGTGATGTGAGGGGGATGCATGGGGTGCACTGCGGGCGCTCAGAGGGGTCTGATGGAGGAAGGGGCATTTGAGAAGCCTGAGCAGAAGAAGCCAGTCAAGTCACCTCTGGGGCACAGAGACAAACACAGCTGCCATGGCCTTGACATGGCCGTGGGCCCACGAGGCAGCACGAAATCAGGGGTGTGTGGCCACCCACTGGGTTTGAGGTGGCTCTGCCCAGTGTGGCAGTCGGGCACACGGCTGAACCAGGAGACAGTGATCACGGTGAGCATAGCCCCAGTGGGCTGTGCGCACAAAGAGGCACGGTCTGAGGGCCTGGAGGGGAGGGAGCCACGGGTCCCAGAGCAAAGGGTGGTTGACTTTAAGCAGTGGGTTTGCAGCAAAGGGAGTAGAGACATGGAAGAAAATGGTGGATGATGGCACCACCCAGAGGGGGTGGCCAGACGGACGAGGCCCAGCTGCTGGGGGGCCTCAGACTGCAAATGTTCCCCTGTGAAGGGTAAGAGCATCCCTGGGCAGGGAGGACCCGCTGGCGGCTGGGAGAGAGAGGGGAAGGGGTGCCATCTTGGAGCGAGGGGGGCACAGGTGCAGAGGCCAGGAGGTCCGGTGCTCAGCGCAGACACCCCCTGGGACCTGAGCTAGGGCCGTGGGGCTGGAGTTTCTCTAGTTAATTTCCTCTAATTTAGGCGCAGTCTCAGAGTGAGAGTGTGTGTGTGTGTGTGTGTGTGTGTGTGTGTGTGTGTGTGTGAGTGTGTGTGTGTGTGAGTGTGTGTGTGTGTGAGTGTGTGTGTGTGTGTGTGTGTGTGTGTGTGTGTGTGTGTGTGTATGCGTGTGTGTGCGTATGCACGCACGCCAGCGCATGTGTACCTGTGTGCTGATGTGCACGTGGGCAGTGGTGTTTCTGGGCCACAGAGGGCTGGGGAGGGAGTAAGAAAACAGCCCGAGGGGAGGGGAGGGGAGGAGTCGATGCCATTTCCTAGGAAATAGGTCCCAGGCATCAGTGATGCCCTTGCATTTGGCTTCTGCTAAGGGCATCCCTGGCATGTGCTGCTTTTGTAAAAAAGTAAAACAAGAGATGCTGTGTCAGTCAGCTCATGCTGCCGTAACAGACTGGGCAACCTAAACAACAGAGGTTTATTTCTTACAGTTCTGGAGGCTAGAATCGCGGATGCTGTTCCAAAGGGTTCTGTGTCTGGTTTGTGGACGGCCACCTTCTTGCTGTGTGTTCCTATGACCTCTTCTCTGTCCTCTGTTCAGGGTGGGAGGCTGTGGGTGAGGGAGAGCAGGTGCTCTGTGGTCTTTCCTTATAGAGACGCCAACACTGTTGGAAGAGGGCCCCGCCCTTAAGACCCCATTTATCCTTAATTAGCACCCAGGAGGCCCCGTCCCCACAGGCAGCCACACTGGGGGTTGGGCTTCAATCTACGAATTCTGGGGACACATTCAGTCCACAGCCGACAGCTGCTGCATGGACAGGACAGTCGTTTTAAGTGAAATGGGTTCAAGTTGTCAGGCTGAGCGGTCGCTGTAGGTAGGAGGGGTTGCCTTCCCTACAGGGCCCGCAGCCCAGGGCCTGCGCCCCAGGTCCTGACAGGTGGTGGTGTCGCCTGTCCTAAGGGAGCAGCGCGCACATCTCTTGTCTCCCCGTGGACACCGTCCAAACCGGCGCCGTGGAAAGGCGACCGCACGGCCGAGATGCGCCTTCAGAGCCTTGAGAACCGTCCTGGATAGGCGGTCACCGTCACCTGCATCGACCGGGTGGACAGAACCAAGTGCCACCGTTAGTGTTGGCGGCTACTTGTCATCTTTCACTGCACTGTCCGCGCGTCTCCCGTCACCAGTGGCCATTTCATTTCCGCGGACGGCCTGGCGCGGAGGGGTCCCTGCGGAGACCCCACCGACCCCAGCGCGCCTGCTGCCTTCAGCCGTCCGGTCCGGCGGCCCGGCCTCGCCGCCCTCTTCTCCGTGGGTCCGGTGCAGTCCGCACAGAGCCACGCGCTCCCACCGCAACCCCTGCCCGGGAGTAAGGGGGTCGCGCCCGGTCGAGCCCGGAGCAGCGCGCGGCCCCTTTAAGAAGCGCCGTCGAAGCAGGGCCATGACGTCATGGGGTGCGGGAGGAGTCAGTGCGCCGCCGCGGCGTGGGGTAAGGCGGGGCGGCCGCTGACAGACAGGAGCGTGGCTGCGAGCGCCGAGGCCGGCGCAGGAGCGCCCCGCGCAGGCCCCGCCCCTCAGGCCCTGCCTAGATTCCACACCCCGCC